AAAAAAAAAAAAGAGAGAGAGAGAGAGACAGAAAATGTCTATAGAAGTTTCAGCGGGGTGTGTGTGTGCGTGTGTGTGTGTGTGTGTGTGTGTCAGGAGCTGAATGCTTCTTCTGCCTTACCCATTGCCCTTGGAGGGGGCCCACCCTGCCCCTGGCCACACTGACACCTGAAATGAAAGGCACCTCTGGTCCCTGGTCCTGGCCACATTTCTCATATGTCCCCCTCAAATGTGAGGAAACACCAGCTTGCTAATGGAACTTGGGAGCCATACCAACTTGGTGCCCATTCATATCTCAACATGATAGCCCCTGACAGCTCTGAAAGTCCAATATTGACTGTTGAGAGAAAGAAACCATATCTGAAATAGTATCTATGTATACAATTCCAGTGATTAGCAATAGTTCCTCCTGATGAAGAGTCTTAGGGTTTTGTGAGAAAGTGAGTAAAAAATTCAGTTCAGATTCCACTGTGTAAAGTGACTAAAGAGCCGCCTCTCATTTGGTCACTTGATCCTAGGATGTTGCACTTCAGCAGGTGCCTGGCCCATGCCTCCACCTCAAGCTTGTCTGTGCCTGGCCCAGTTGTGAGGCTTCTAGGTTTGAGGGGGGGGCGGTCAGATACTGAATAGGAACCTTTCAAAGCCTCCATGAGAGCCCCTGGCAGTGCTGTGGCCTCTGCTCTGTACTGCTAGCTGAGATGACTTTGGACTGGCCCAGTGGACTTCCTGTGAGTGTGTGTAGGCTGGGTGGGTGGGATGAATAAGAAAGGACCCAAGAGGAGAGAGGAGGAAGCAGGGCCCTGGATAAGGTGGCTGAGAAGAATGTTTGCAATGGCTGCCTCTGAGAAGTGTGTGTGTGTGGGGGCAGTTAGCCTCTGTTACAGACCTGTTGCAGCAGGAGCCTCTGACAGCCCTCTGTCCTCTGAAGGCTTCCAGCCCTGACTTTGCTGTATCTCCCAGGACCTCTATAAATGGAGCAATGGTGTCTCCTCTGAGTCCTGTGCAACCAGGAATTTAGCACACAATGAATGTGTGACAGGTGGTAGTTTGGATGAGTTTCATTTGTTGGAGAAAAAAAGACTGGAAGTTGTAGACTGAAGATCTTGTCCAAGGCCAGGTGTGGTTTTGTGGGTGATTTGGTCCCCCAGATCTCTGAATCATGTCCAGATTCCTCCCCAAGGCAGCAGGACAGACACCCAGAGAGGCATTGGCCCTTGGCCCTCTGCTTTATCCTGTTTGTCTCTGACCCAGTCTGTGCCTGGAGCCTTTGTCATTCCATATTTGTGTTAGTTCTGTAAAGGCTTCTCTCCTTCTCCCTGAATACCCAGAACAAAGGAAAGGAAAATAGCATCTCAGGCTGGCCTTTGGCAGGAGTGATTGTGGGGTATCCAAGTGGCATAGGGTGCTCTTCTCATCCTCCTGGGATCCATAGGCTCCCCAGGCCTCCCCAGGCCTATACTAGGTGCGAGGTCCCAAGGAGTAGCTTCTGGGTGGTTTTGGCTGGCAACATAATTCCAAATTGCTTAAGTGGCAAAGAAGTGATCCCAGAAGCAAGGCCTTGGTATGGACCTAAGGGCCAGCTTCTGGGCCCAGATGCATGGCCCCTGCCATGGTCATATCTAGCCTGGAAGGCCTAGATTCTTTCTGGAGCCTCCAGGACTCTGGCTCTCCTCCCTGTCTCACTCAGGAGTCCCCCCTTGGTGTGTAAGGTTAGGTTCTGTGTGTGTCTTGGGAGTGTCTCTGGGTTTCTCCTTCCAACCTTGGTACCTCTATCCTCACCTCTGGATCTTCTGTGCCCAGGTGCCCAGTTCCAGGCTGTGTGGGGCTTGGTCATATCAGTGGCAAATATGCCTCTCACAGAAGTGCATCGGGCTGCCCACTGGCTGCCCGGAGGCAGAAAGAAGGTTCCCTCAATGGCTCGTCATTCTCTTGGAAGTCACTAAAGAACGAGGGGCCAACCTGCCCCACCCCAGGCTGTGATGGCTCTGGCCATGCCAATGGGAGCTTTCTTACTCACAGAAGGTAACTATACCCCCTCACCCTTCCCTGTCTGTGCAGTAAGCAGGGACCCTGATTTGGTGCTGAGGGAAGACTTCTGAGGGAAACCCAGACAAGGGCTCTGTATGACCAGAGATTCTCAAGGGAAAGGCCAGGGCTGGGCATAATGGTTCTTATTTGTAATCTCAGCCCTGTGGGAGGCTGAGTCAAGAGAATCACTTAAGGCCAGTAGTTTGAGGCTGCAGTGAGCTGTGATCACCCCACTGCCCTCTAGCCAGGGTGACAGAGCAAGACTTTGTCAGAAAGAAAGAAAGGAAAGAAAGGAAGGAAAGAGCAAGGCTAGGCCAAATGGGTAGCTGATGGAGGGAAGCCAAAGAATCTCGGTTGGTGCTGGGAGATGGTGTTGGCTGCATTTGTACCATGTATCTGCTCTCATAGCCTCCCTCCCACATCCTCAGGAGGTCTCTGGGCTGGGTGCTCTGCTGGACGTGGAGGCCACACATGAGCAGGGCTGTGTGTCTGATACTCACATTCTCTTAATGAGCTGCCAAGTCCTCTGGACAAGTTTTTCCCTCCCTGCCTCCCTCCCTTTCCTCTACCCTAACCTTAACCCTCCAAGATTAATTAACTCATTCAGTTAACAAAGTATTTACACCACTGTGTACCAAGCCCTGGAAAGAGAGCAGAGAACAGAAGGACACCCATCCCTGGTCCATGTGGTGTGTAATTTTGGCAGGGTAGGTGGGGAGACAGCCTGTAAGCAGGTAAATAGATAAAATGCCTGGTATGGTGAGTGGTGGAGAGTGCTCTGGGTAAGAGGCAGTGGGGAGGGGGTAAGGAGGCCTCTCTGAGGAGGAGGCAGGAACTTGACTGAGCTATCTGGGGACAAACCCTCAGAGGAGTGGCTGGACCTGGGAAGGGCTGGACAAATTTGGAGGAGCTGGGTCTGCAGAGGTGGAGACCCAGGAGGAGCCAGGAGGAGAGGGCAAAAGGAGATGAAGCAGAAAGTTTGGAGCCTGGATCCTACCAGAATGCCAGTGGGCAAGGACTTGGCTTGCCCTGTGAGTAAAGGGCCCTGGGATGGTGCAGGAGAGAGGCCAAGGTCTGCCCTGGGTGGCTGGCACAGCTCTAGGCTGCTGAGGAGAGGCCAGTGAGGAGGCTGCTGGGCCTGGGCCAGGTGGGCACATCCCAGGCTTCCTATGGACATTGCGCCTGGCCTCAGTCTACCTTTATTTATAATATGGATAAGATTGTGCCTGAGAATCCACATATTATTATGCATATTTCTGTTTTAATGTCTATATCCAAGGAGCCATCTGTGAATATCATTATAACCACACCCTGAAAGGTCTCTCAGGGACAGGGTCCACTATGAGGGCCTCCTAGTTGAAGGGGCGGTTAGGGCTGCAAAGTGCTACAAATGAGCCAGGGGGACCTTCCCAAATCACGCCTTCCCAGCCAGGGTGTCACCTTCCCAGCCCCTGCCCTTACCAGATGAAGCTTCTTTTACCCCAGGAAGTGCACAGAGGTGATGGGAATCAATTTGACCATAGGAAGGCTCTCAGGGTCATCTGGGTAAGATGCAACTGGCCTAGTACTGGCCCATAAAGCATGACATTGGACTGATCATGGTTTATGACCTTGGGCTAGCCATGCTGTCTGACCCTGCCCTGGTCACAGTGTGGGACCCTGTCTTGGTCAATGATATGGGACCTCTCCTTCCAGTCTGTCAGGCTGTCCTAGAGCAACATTTGCTGGAAAGAAGGGAAAACTCTCAGGGGAAGAGGTTCTCAGCTCAAAGTTCAAGACTAGTGACGGTAAGAATGTCTTCCTGGGTTTCCTTGCGTGGGACTGGGGACCCAGGTGCATGAGAGACTGGATCCTCTTTGTATTGGTAGGAAGGGGTAGGGAGATGAAGCCCCTCCTGGAATAAGTCATGGCGGAAGCAGATCCCTTACCCTGAGTTGACAGCTCTCCTGATCTTGGCTCTGAAGGCCTTGATGCCCATGTCTTGGACTCCTGGGACTTGGGTGGTCATGCCTGCTCTCTGGGAATTCATTGACCACTGGGATCAATTCTACCAGAAACTATCTCTGATTAGTCTGTGGAGAGTATGACTCACTTCCACTTACGTGAGGAAATTTATCATGATCTGGAGAAACTTCTGTTTTTGTCTTAGCAATTAATACCTCCCAAAAAACTGAAGCCTTTCCCACCTGCAACCTAGGTGAGGAAGCAAACAGCAAATACTCAAGTCTCAGTTTTCAAGAAAGATTTTACCAGTGTGGAATGTGAGGTATTGAACCCCAGAAAGAGATGAGCTCAGAAAACCAGGCACAGGTCCTCTATTACACCGGGAATTTCTAGTTCTACCTAGAAAGCAGGCCTCCCCATATCACATGGGCCTGGGCCTGAGGCCCAGAGCCACCACTGGGGTTTCTCTCCGGGACAGTGCTGGAGAATGACGAGGAGATTAAGCAGCTGAACCAGGAGATCCGAGACCTGAATGAATCCAACTCGGAAATGGAGGCTGCTATGGTGCAGCTGCAGTCCCAGGTGGGTAGCACTGTCCCCCACCTCTGGGTTCTCTGCCCTCCCAACCCAAATGTCCGTCCTGGGAATAGTGCAGCATCCATCAGCACCTGTCAAGGTTACTGTCAGGGCTGAGCTGGTGGACACTGTGATCAGTCCGCCAGGAACACTTAGGACATGCTGGCTACCCATGTGTGCTGGTTTTAAAGTCACTGCGAGTGCTGGCAGGCTGCTGGTGCTGGTGCACTCCAGGGCTGGTGGCCAGCTTGGTGTCAGTAACACTATCAGTTTTGCCAGTCTCATTAAGATTAGTATGACTACTGGTATTAGTTTCATTGGTACATACAAGTAGTTGTATCAGAGTCAGTGGTCCTGTTAGGCTTCCTAGTCTTGGTGGTGTTGGTAGTCCTGTTAGTGTGGTGCCTGGGAGCCTGTTCTCTAGAGCTGGGGTCTGTCTGAACCAGCTGAGTGACGTGGCAAACCTTTGGGCCTGCCCTCTACCCTAGGCTACAGCAGACACAAGACATGTTCCCACCCTATGCGTTTTGCTGCTCTGCTCTTTTCTTAACTGGGAAACAGGCTAATGCTGGCCACTTGTCACTCAACAGCCTGCATAAATATAGCACCTGACAGACCCCAGGAATGTGTCCACTCTGTCATGCACATGTGGTATAGCATCCCCAGGTTCAGAGAACTGTGTCCGTCTCCTAATGATGTCTCTTGGGTGTAGAGATATAGCACTGTGGGGGTTGCACCTGTGTTCCCTGCTCCTTTCCTTCTCAACATCCCTGGGGCCCTTATCAGTCTTAGTGTCCTTAGGGTAACATCTCTGGTTTTTCATTATTTTCCAAAAGCAATCTTTTAAAAGACAGATCACTACCTTTCACTGGAATCCCTTTGGAAGGACTCAGAGGCCCAGTCACTCTGACAGAGTTTGGTGAGGGCTGCCCTCTCTGGAAGGGTAAAGGCGAAGAGAAATCAGGTCCTTCTCTGCCACAACTCCTTTATTTTAAAGTGCCCTGCTTGCTATTCACTGACAAAAGAGGGCTTGACCTGTCCACAGCCCCACCAGGAGGGTGCTTGGCCCTGCACTTGTGGGCCATACACATGGTCTTGGGCTCTTAGCCTCTGCCCCTGAGGTTCCTTGAAGATGGACAGTCAGGCTGGGGCAGGGCCAGCATGACCCTGGGCAGGCTCATGACCAGGGTGGGAAAGTGAGAAGACTTGCCTGTGCTTGGCCTGAGAAGACTGCTTGTGAGGCCTTGGAGAAGGCGTTTGTCAGTTTTTTTAGTGAGGGGAAGATGCAAGGGCAGTCCAATACTCCACAAGGTGGGCTGTTATTCCTATCTTACATGTAACAACAGGAAGCATAGAGAAGTGAAGAACACAGCTGGTGGGATCTGAGCTCAAGACTGGGGCACTGTGGGGTTTGTGCTCTCACTCCACACTGCAGGATGGACAGGGCCAGAGAACCATGCCACTACAGCCCCCCTGCTCAGTCACCGCACCGTTCCCTGGCTTCCCTCTGGGTCAGGCTGTCTCCAGAAGGCCCTTGCCTTTCTCTTCTGCATCTAGGACGCTGGCATTGCCAGCTCCTTACCTGCAGGCAGGATCCCCACAGGAAGGCAGTGTCCCTGCCTCTCCTCCAGATACCTCGAGTTTCTCTCTGGCACAGATCTCCTCCATGGAGAAGAACCTGAGGAGCATCGAAGAGGAGAACAAGCTCATTGAGGAGCAGAATGAAGCCCTGTTTCTGGAGCTGTCCGGCCTGAGCCAGGCCCTCATCCAAAGTCTCGCCAATATCCGCCTTCCGCACATGGTAGGAAGTGCATGGCCCTGCAAGTGCCACAGCTGAGCTGGCGGGAGGGTTAGGGTATCTCTCACCTGCCTGCCTCTGGGCTCTGTGGGGAGTGTCCTCACCATTTGTGGAGATTCTCTGTGCTCCGAATGGCACATGGCAGCTCTAGCCCTCCCAAACCATTTACAAATCCCAAACAGAATAATGGTTACAACAGCAGAGAGCCTATTGCTAGAATTGCTGCAGAGAGAAACACCCACTGTTTCTGCACGAGGGTGATGCAGACAGCACTGTCCTGGCTGGCATGAGCTCTTCTTGGGTCATGTAGGGACACAGGTGGACAGGGCTTGCTAACCTGGTTCTGTCTTCTAGGAGCCAATATGTGAACAGAATTTCGATGCCTACGTGAGCACCCTCACTGATATGTACTCCAACCAGGAGTGCTACCAAAACCCTGAGAACAAGGCCCTCCTGGAGAGCATCAAGCAGGCTGTGAGGGGCATCCAGGTCTAGACCATGCCTCCCTGAAGAGCACCCCCGCCAACTTGTCATCACCTCCCACGCCCTGCCCGTGCAGTGGGGATCCCCAATTCACAGTGACTTATCATTTGCAGCACAGCGCAGCCTTGGGTGGTTCATCTAAAAGGGTGCCTGGAAATCAGTGTCGCCCACGAAGCCCCCACCAGGCTTGGAGCCATGACCTCTCCCACAAAAGGGTACGGGGTCACTGAAGTATTACAAAGCGATTTATTTTTGTTTTCTGGAAGAAATCTGAAGAGCAGCTCAAAGTCTCCAGTGGAAGCTCATGGACAAGGTTCTCAGGGAAGTTTTGGAGTTTGCAACCACAGTATTCTTTTGTCTGTCAAGGCTGGGAGGGCGGCTGTAGCCTAGGGCGGGTGTGGCATAGGGTGGCTGGTGTGAGTGTAGAGTCTCAGCCTGGAGGATGCGCCTGGGGCAGTGTATCAGTGCTCAGTAAGGAGGCCTGTGGCACGTGTGTTTTCTGTTTTTGTTCAATTTAATTTTGCGTTAGAGGTGGAACAAGGGTCTGTTCCATAGGGAAAGTGAGGAGTAGGCCTTCCAGACGACCACTCCAGATATTCACAAGCATCATAGCCCACAGTTAGTTCAAGAAATTTAAACTTGGAGCCTGAGCCAGAGCAAGACGTTGTCTCTAAAAATAGCTGGGTGTTGTGGTGGGCGCCTATAGTCCCAGCTACTTGGGAGGCTGAAATAAGAGAATCACTTGAGCCCAGGTGTTTGAGGTTGCTGTGAGTTGTGACACAATAGCACTCTACAAGGGCAACAAAATGAGACTCTGTCTCAAAAAAAAAAAAGAAATTTAAACTTGGGACGCACCTGAAAATCAGCCTCATGTCTGGGACCGCAGGTACCCTACCTGTGCAGACATGTGTGGCCTTGGGTCACAGCCCCCTCTAGGGGCTGCAACCTTTCAGACCCAGAGTCTAGGCTCTAAGCCCAGGGACCAGCAGGCTGGGCCTCTGGCTTCTATGTGTTCACCCAGGCCCTTGGCCAGTCACTGCCACGTATCCTGGGTTGTGGCTGGCTTAATCTTTGTGTCTGGGGTGACGGAGGCAGGGATGACATCATTGAGGTCAGGGGTAAAGTCTTAACTGGAGGATACCAAGGTTTCACTTCTTTTTAGATCCATTCAAGATGTGAAAAAAGGTGAATTTTAATTTAATGTGTTAAAAACACAATGTTCTACTGTGTAAATAGAGTCCAAGTCAATTGTGACTGCAATTCAAAGTTAGTATTTAAAAGTAGAGAAATTGCACTTCCTGGAAAACTTAAAGAGTAGTTAGTTTATTCTGTAAATTATTTAATTTTGTCAAATGTAAGTATTTATACAACCTCTTATGTTAACATTTGCTATTTATTTAACATTTTTATTTATTAATTTTATACTATTTTAAATGGATCCCACACCAGGGCACAATAAGAGGGAAAAAAGTGAAATCAAAGTAAAATAACTATTTGACTATAATATAGGCCACAAAAATATTGTTATAACTTCTAGTTATAATTTTGATGCAAGTTATTTTTTATATATTTTGTTATTTATTCTTTTAATAGCGAAATTTTTAAAAAAGTATTTTGTAACTGAAGAATTTTGATAATTTGGGATTTTTCTTCTTAGTCTGATGGAGAGAAAGACATTTTGTTTTTCTTTTTCCCTTTTGGGTTCTTTTGTTTCAAGCCCAGGTAAAAGCAAATGGAATTCTGTATTTATTATTATTTAAGTGTAGCGCAGATGTGTGTGCTCTGGCGTGTTTCTTGTGTCCGTTTGTGTGTTGTCTCTTATGGCTGAGTCTTGTTGCTGTGAGGGGTTCTGGCTGCAGTTGGCCTCAGGCACCGCCCGGACTCCAGGCTGCACTGCTCATCCCTCTGACAGCTTTGATACTGTGACCCTCCTTCCTCAGGAAACATGTTGAACCCCAGCACTTCACGGTGTGTCTGCAGGGTGATTTCCTAATAAAAGTCCACTCTGATGGTGACTCAGTGCTGTGGTCTCTATTCCTGACCAGCTTGCTCAATCACCCTCCTGGGGTGTTTGGTGGGCAAATCAGGGTGGGCCTCTTACAATTCTGGTCTTACTCTGATACCACATGTGGACCCACCCTGTGCAGCCCGGGCCAACGTCTTCTTTCAAAACTGCCTCTCACATGTGGTTCTAGGAGGTCTAAGCTACCACACCTGGCCCCTTTCCATAGGACCAGGCCTGTGAAAACTGGAGTTTTCGCCATGGTTTTCTCTTAGAAAAAGTCTTCTTGTGGGGAGTGTTATACTGGGGGGATGGAATGAGGGCTTCTCCGGGCCATCTCTCCTGGTCACAAGGAGGAAGCCATTTGCAGCAGAAGAGAAATCAGACATCTGGAGACAGGTGGAAGGTGGAGGAAGAATGAGCTGTCTGCTGACATTTTCAGAGCCAGGCTGAGGGCACTCTGCCCCTGAGTTTCCTAGTTACGTGAGGCAATGGATCCTTTCTTTACTTTTTTTTTTTTTTAGTTCCTGTGCTGGCTTTATGGCCTTGCAGTGGCTCCTTTTCCATTCTCACACTTTTGTGCCAGGTGGAGTTCTAGTCCTCTCAGGGTGAGGCTTGGAGTTGGGGCTTCCTGTTGCTTTCAAGCTTAACTATCAATATACTTTTGACTTCCCTGGGAATCTGGCCCTAGAGGTAGATCTGGAGTTCCCACCTGACAAGCAAACAGAGGATTCATATTCACAAAGTCTTGGACATTCTGGGCTGAGCTTCCAGAGTCTCTTCTGGTCAGACAGGGTCCATGACATCTGGTGGGGGCATGTGGAACATCTGCAGCATACCAGCACACACTAGCAGATTAGGCAGAGCCTGTGCAGCTATGAGGAAGGATTACTGGGGTTCTCCTTTGCTGAGGCCTCACAGGTAACAGGGAGACCAGTGGCCTGGTTTTATCCCCCTTCACGGCAGATGCTGGGGTGTGGACTTTGTGTGAGCAGGACTGATTCTGAGGTGTCCCTCCTGCAAGCTGAGGTGAAGGACATGAAGGTTAGCTGGAGAGGGGGAGCTGTGCTAGGAGCACAGGCCATCACCACAGTGTTAGAGAGCCACAGTCTCCACAGTCTGACAATGGCATGAGCTTGTCCCTTGAGAAGATGCTGGGTCGCCAGCCAGCTGGGTGTGGAGGAGACATGACAGGTGCTGACTTTGGGTATGGGGTTGCCCCAGAGGTCCCCCCCCCACCACACTGCAGCTAAGACTTTTCTGCTAGTCTACACACACTCTCTCTCTCTCACTTACTCTCTGAAGAGAATAAAGCTCAAGAATTATTCAGAGAGAGGGGGGTGTTTTCCTGGTTCTCAGAGGCAGGGCAGGGTTCTGGGGGCTCTGTCGGCTCCTGAAATGCTTTCTACCGGTTGTCTTTGTTTCAGCCCTTCTCCCATCTCCAGCAGAGCCTGGTGTTGCTAGTTCTTGATGGTTCTGGGATGTGGGGTGTGTTGGTTCTGATGTTTCTACCCTTTGGCTAGAATTCAGTGTTTTGGATCGCCTGGGCCATTTATTTCATGTCTATGAGTTTTCTGGCTTCTCAATTGCATTATTGCCATCCTTCCTTCCATCTCTTTGCTCCTGCCAATTCATACCATAAAAGCTGCCATTTTAGCTGGGTTTAAGAGAGAGGCAAGATATGGGTGTGTACCCACTCTCCTTATCTGGCTGTGTATGCTCCAAGTTGATGATGAGCACATGGTGGTCTCCCTGTGCAGATGGGAAGCCAGCTCAGTGCTGAATCAACATTGCCCCATGAGTAAGTGGAGCCTCAGTTTCAGGTGAGACTTTGTCCCCTTAACCACTCTGTCTCTGTGAAGTTGGTGGCTGCTACAGATATAGGTGTAGAGGGTTTCTTGTCAGTGAATTGTGACCCTTGCAGTGAGGCCTTTAATGCTACCCAAGAGTTACAGTCTCTGCACCATTCCCTTTGCCATCCTTAAAACAAGAGGTACAAGGGAGGAGGTAGAAGGTGGGCTTCCCCAGTGGAGCCTCAGTCCTTGCTTTAACAAAGTGTTAATCAGGTTGAAATAGTAGAACACATCAGGGCACCCTTATCCATTATTGTGGGTGTTCTGGGTCAACACCAGGCAGCTGACCATTGGCAGAGCTGAGCTCTCAGGCTGCTGGGTGCACGCCCAGGGGCCAAGACAGTCTGAAGCCCTCATTGTACCCCAAACTCACCTCCCACCTTGGATGCTGTCTTGATTCTGTCTCTCTGTAGGCCTCAGTGTGTGCTGACTTCTCTGAAGCCTGGCCTCTTCCCTTCTAGCTCCTTCTATGGCTCCTTCCTCCTTTCCCTCCACTATACCCTCTTGTCACATGCCTGTCCCCTCCTGGCCTCTCCTCCTTCCTGATTTCCACCTACCCTGCAGCTGCCCCTGCTTGCTCCTTGGGGGCTGCCCTAGCCTATAACCCTGGCCCTTTCTCCTCATTTCCAAGGTTGGTGGCTGCTATTTACAAAGAACTTCCACACTGTCCCCAAAGTCTGCATTCCTCTAGAACCTTCTGTATTTCCACTTGGATGTCCCACAGGCATCAGGACACATGCCTAGGTGACCGCAACAGCCTGACTACTGCTCCCAGCCTTGCCGTCCCTGGGCCTAGCAAGGCACTAGACCCTGGTCTTCATTCATGTAGCTGAAGGTCTTATGGCCACATGAGAGCTGCCAAGAGGGGCCCTAACTGCCTGACATGCACACGGATGTTGATGCTCCATGGCGTGCCAGCCTGGTGCTATGTGCCACGTGTATGGGGCCAGCCGTGGAGTAGCCCAGACAGAGGCTGGTGTGTGAAGTGGAGGAAGAACAGTGGCCCGTGCCTTTGTGAAGTACAGGGCAGTGCAGGTTGGGACCCACCCACCAGGTGGCCACAGTGAGATTTCTGAGCTTCAAGGGAAACCCTCCCAGTAACTGATGTGATGGTTTGGTTGTGGTGTCTACTCTGGCTGGCTCTAGTGCCCAGGGGC